CTGTGCGCCAGACAGAGAGAGCGACTCTGGATACTGTGTTGGTGTGGCGTACGGGCTTGGACATTGGCTCAATACTTCATTGTATTGCTCTTTATGGATGGTTTTCTCAGTGCATTTGTACTCTCTACTTGGGATACTACTACTTGCTCAGTTGTGTGATTTCGCAACTTGGTTTTATGTATATCGCTCACACTCATATTCCTTGCAATTTGGTATCGGAGCTGGTTGTGATCACCGCTTACCTGACACCGGTGACATTGTAACTTGGTGCGCTGAGGATGCTTCATATGCAGTGAGAATACTTTGCCGCTGGTTGATTAGCGGGGCCTAGGTAGAGAGGCCAGCCGCTGGAAGGCTGTGGCGACAGCGTGGGAGCTGTGGCGACAGCGGATGTATACATGATGATGAGAGTATGCTGATGTGGCATTTTGGATGAGGTGGCACTACATTGCATTGTGGGTGGTTCCAAGGCTATTGACCGGTCATCGAAATGCACATCAGCCCAATTGGTGAGAAATCTGTGGTTGGGGGCAGCTATCTCCAAGGATGTTGTTCCCATTCCTTTTCTACCCTCTCAATCTCTTCTTACCGTGAGGAAGTGAGTCCAACTTGAGTGTCCTCTCTTTGGTGAGGAGTCGTGTGCGCTCTATCTTGAGAGACGACATTCTTCCCAGTGGTGCATCTAGCAGGAGAGGGCGGTGCCTATGAAGGGCCCTGGTCGAAGCACGTGGGTCACGGTCACCATGCCAACCCAATGGGATTAGTACACGCATGCGATGGTTGCTTTGTCCATTGAGGCTCTTTGCTGCGCTGATAGAAGGGGTGTGCGGACTGACCAGTCCTATTGAGACGCTTACCAGACCGTCTATAAACATTTCTGGTTGGGGCCTGAATTGTTCACTGGCTATGATCGTCGTCCTGTTTGCGACGTTAAATAATTCCTGAGGAGATGGGGGCTCTCCTTAAATCCCTCCTGATCAGCCAGATCATTCAGACGTAAGGCTCGTTGCACGCGAGGGTAAACAAAGGGGCAGGCTGGTCATAAGCATACTTCTTGGGCACAGGGGTGGGCCGTGGATGCACACCTTAGACACCGCAGCTTGATGATGCTCACAGGTACGTTGGATACAGGGGAAGGGGATTCCAATTGAGAACTCAACTGTACATCACTTACATATCCATTGTGCATACATCTGCTCACATTAGTCCGAGTTTTATTTTGATTAGTTGGTTGACCGACTGCTGACACCTAACATACAGACTAGAGATAGGACTGTAATCTACCATAGTCAGTTCTTCTCCAATCTTTTGTGTAGACTAATCAGAATAAGACTTAGGCAATGTGTATAATTTGAGTAGATGCTGTTGATATCGCTTGACTAGTAGGCTAGGTAACTCGCCGGACATTTATTTATTTATTTTTAGATCCGGTCAGATGCATGTTGCAGTAGGTTCTAGCGAGGACATTAGTGCAGGCAGCATCTGCCTAACCTATGAGTGGGTCAGAGGGTGAGGGAGGTGCAGATGGCGATAGGAGATTAACACGGATATCATCCCTTAGAATTCCTAGAGTGTTCCAGACCCTACAACCGGGAGAAGAGAGAAGATTAAGGGTTGAAGCTAGGGCCCGTAATCTTGAGGCTGCATGAGAAGCAACAGCCGCTTGGGCGGTAGCAATGAGTAATGATACTTCCGCAACAACTGCTGCGAACTCAACTGGTCAAGGGCTAGGCATGCCTACCAGTTCACAGTCAATCTCCAATACATCAGGGGTTGGCACTAGTCAAATGGCGGGCTCGCAGTTCAGTTCGCCGCCTCCACGCACCCGGGAGCAGATGGAGCTCCAGCAAGTAGAGAGGATCCGCTTCAGGTTAAAGGAGGAACTTAGGCAGGCTACTAAAAGAGAAAAAGAGATCAAAGATAGAAGTGCTAGACTACAGGGCAGGGAGGCAGAACAGGCTGCGTTAGAAGGATTAAATGACTCGGCCCTCAGAAACAATGAAAAGATTCTGAAGGCGAGCATCCTGTCCATGCATGCATACATGAACAGTAAACTGGATGCAATCCAGGACACCTTGGACCAGATCCTGAATGCTATGCACAAGCCAGGGATCCGGCCAGCAGCTTTACCATCGCTGCCACTCTCAGCGATGACAGGCCTCTATGCCGCTCAGTCTACACCACCACCAAGTGCATCATCAACAGTAGCCCTATCTCAAACTGTTGCTTCTTCATCTTCTGGTCCAGCGACTGTAGCTACACCACAGTCGCCACCTGTCTCACAACAGGGACAACAATATCCTTGGTACCGCAAGACCCCATTGAACCCACCTGCAACCTTCTCAGGAGATAAGAAGGATGAGGCTCTCGACACAGGGTTGAGAACGGTGCCAGTGTGGGTAAGGGCAAAGAGGACATTGGTAGAAGAGGAGGTGATTACTGCTGCATCCTACTTAGAGGGTTCAGCAGCCCGTTGGCTAAACGGATTAGTTGCTTCAAAGGGTTTCGGCAGGAACATGCATGATTGGGCGTAGACCCATACATTAGAAAGATTTATGGACTTAGTTGAGGCTCGTTGGCACAACCCACAACAGGCACAAATTGCCACTGATGGGCTCTTAAAGCTTGATACTAAAAAGTACAAGTCAGTGCGGGAACTCACCACAATCGTAGAGCGCCTGATCGTCGTCCAGGGAGTGGAGTACAATCCGCAGGTCTTGCTGACCATGTTCCTGAGATGTCTTCCCAGAGACATTAGGAATTTATTAGCCAGCGAGGCTCGACGCGAGTATCACACCTTTGAGTCATTAAGCAAGAAGGCCCTAGACTTAGAGGCTACGCTGGGTGGAGCTCAGACCCCTTCTACGGATGAGAGAAAGAAGAAGACTCCACAAAAGTGGAAGAATAAGGGTAGTCGATTGATGATGGTTGATTCCGATGGGAATCAAACCGAGATCGATGATGTTTCTGATCTTGTGGAGGATTCAAGGTTTGACGGCGAGGAGAGTGTTGAGGGTAGCAACCTCGCCGCCGTAGTCAAGACTAAGGCAGCTGGCCGCGGCAAGGGCGGTCAACAAAGGAGTCAGGGGCAGGCCGCTAATCCAAACAAAATAGCTGCTTGGGTTAGAGCAGGTCTGGATCAAGAAGTGTGGCGGGACCGTTGGAGTCATGGTGCTTGCATTAACTGCGGTGAGTACAGTCACACACAGTTCAAGTGCAAGAACCCGAAGGTCTAGCAGAAGATCCCTCCTAAGGGTGGGTTTTCTTCTTCTCAATCTGGGGCCTCTAAGAGCTCCAGTTCGGGAAACACTTAGGGCCAGTAGAAGTTATAGCTGCTTCTACACTCGTTGAAGCGAGTGATGTACCCTCCCTGTTTCAAGAGATGGCCAAAGCTATTGACTCCTTAGTCACGCCGCAGACGCATCCGAACCCAACTATACTCTGTACGTTGGATGTGTCTGAGGCCTTAGAGGACCTTCAAGGTGAGTGGTCGGCAAGGGACCCTCGTGAGTCCTGGGTGGCATTGAGTAGAGGTCCTAGAGGGGAGCACTTCGTTGTGGAAGTTGATGTGGGTGGTGGCAAGTGCGGCGCCTTCGTAGACATTGGCTCCACGCAAAACTTCATAAGTCGCGGCTGCGTTGACAGACTGTGCCTAAAGGACCGGGTGCAGCGCCTTAGTAGACCGGTAGCATCTACTTTGGCCAACAAAGAGCGCATGATGGTGGAGGACTACGTTAAAGATGTGGTCTGCACCTTCTCCTACCCAGGAGGAGAGTTAAATCATAAGATATCATTCCTGGTGAGCGACGAGTTGCCCTTTGACATGTTGTTGGGCATGTACTACCTCGAGGTTGCCAAGCCCCAGTTTGACTGGGACAGGAAGGTGTTGAAGCACGAGTTGCCTAGTGGGAGAACCGTGAGACTGGCCAAATACAAAGCCAGTAGGTTAGTAGACTCCTATGGGTGCTTATGCGCATCTGCCTTTTATAACTATTATAAACAGAACCCAGAGGAAGGAATGTACTTAGTCTATGTCTCTGCAAAAGGGGAGGCCGTAATTACACCCCCAAAGATAGAGACCATCGCCGCCAAGTACCCTGATCTGTTCGAGGAGCCTACAGGAGTCGTAGACAGGGAGATTGTCCATGCCATAGAGATCATCCCCGGTAGTAAAACACCTAAGGGAAGAATCTATAGGATGGCCCCAGCCGAGTTGGACGAACTTCGGCGGCAACTGAAAGAGCTCACGGAGAAGGGTTGGATTCGGCCTAGCACTTCCCCCTATGGCTCACCTGTCTTATTCGTTCCAAAGAAAGGGGGAACACTAAGGATGTGCATTGACTATAGAGGCCTCAATGCCATCACCGTTAAGAACGCAGAGCCTCTACCACGCATCGACGACCTATTGGATAGGGTGCAGGGATGTAAGTACTACACCAAGATAGATTTAAAATCTGGCTACCATCAGATTGCCATCAGACCAGCGAACCAGCACAAAACCGCTTTTCAGACCAGGTACGGTCTGTACGAGTTTGTGGTAATGCCCTTTGGCCCTTGCAATGCGCCGGGTACATTCCAGCACGCCATGAATAGGATCTTCCATGACTACTTGGACAAGTTTGTTGTCGTGTACCTCGACGACATACTTATCTTCAGTRGATCTGTAGAGGAGCATGCTCAACATGTAGACATAGTACTTTCACTCCTTCKACAACACAAGTATAAGATAAATATAGAGAAATGCGAGTTCGGTCGCACTCGAATCTTGTACTTGGGTCATGAAGTATCCGCGGATGGTATTAGGCCCGAAGATGCAAAAGTGGCCAGCATACGTGACTGGCCACGACCCCAGTCAGTGACTGAGGTCAGATCATTCTTGGGAATGTGTGGTTATTACCGCAATTTCGTAAAGAATTATAGCACGATCGCATCTCCCTTGACTGACCTAACTCGACTTGACACACCGTGGGACTGGACCGACGAGTGTGAGGCAGCTTTCAAGCGTTTGAAGCATGCTCTCACGCATAATGAGGTTCTCATGGTACTCGACCCGCAAAGGCCATTCGTTCTAACCACTAACGCAAACCAATATGGGATTGGCGCAGTGCTGGCTCAACAGGAAGGGAAGAAGTTGAGACCGATCGAGTACATGAGCAAAAAGATGCCTTCAAAGAAGTTGGCAAAGTCCACCTACGAGAGGGAACTCTACGCTCTTTACAAGGCACTTGTCCATTGGAGGCACTATCTGTTAGGAAGGTTCTTCTACTTGAGAACTGACCATCAGACCCTCAAGTGGATCAAGACTCAACCAGTTCTCTCCGATGCACTCAAACGCTGGATTGAAGTCATAGATCAATATGATTTCAAACTAAACTATTTGAAGGGAGAGTACAACAAGGTTGCAGACGCATTGTCTAGGAGGGCAGATTACCTAGGTGCGCCGATTTCTGAGTTTCGTTTATTTGAAGATGTAACTCGATCGTTGGATGAAGCCTACAAGGAAGATCCCATCACGATAGACATCATCAACAAACTTCAGGCTAAGGACAAGGCCACTAAAGATGAGTTTGTGATGGTGGATGGGTTACTCTTTCTTGAGAAGGCAGGGTTTAAGAGGCTAGTTGTTCCATCTAGAGAAACTTTGCGTAGTTTATTTTTAGGTGAGTGTCACGACGCAATGGGACAGTTCGGCTATAAGAAGACTAGTACTAATTTAGTACAACGATTCCGGTGGCCTAACATGCTTAACGATGTGAAGAAGTATGTGGAGACCTGTCAGGTCTGTCAGCGGGACAAGCCGCGGACTCAAGCTCCGCTTGAGGTTACTCAAGCCTTTACCCATTCCTGCTGGTTCGGGTCAGAGTATCTCCATGGACTTCATGGACACTCTCGTGACCAGCAAGAATGGCAAGAGGCACATCTTCGTCATAGTAGATCGGTTAACTAAGTACGCTAGACTAATCGCCATGCCAGAAACTGCCAGGACTGAGCACGTCATCAAGTTGTTCATGGACAACTGGGTGCGTGACTTTGGACTTCCAAAGACTATCGTTAGTGATACAGATGTGAGATTCACAAGCGAGATGTGGAAGAAGGCCGCTGAACAGATGGGCAGCCAGCTTGAGATAACTTCTGGGAATCATCCCGAAGCAAATGGGCAGGCTGAACAGATGAACCGAGTGGTGCAGCATCTGCTGAGGCATTACATCAAGCCCAACCAGGATGACTGGGATGAGAAGTTACCTCTCATCGCCAGTCTGTACAACAACGTTGTACACAGCACCATCGGTGTCAGTCCTAATCAACTACATCTGGGATGGAAGCCTAGATCTGCTCTAGACTCCCTCCTGCCTGAAAACCGAACTGCTGCAACTCCTGGAACCATTGAATTTGGTGTCCAGTATGAGAAACTGCTGCAGCAGACTATCGAACACATTAAGAAATCTCAGGAGGTCATGATCGCTTCTGAGAACAAGCGTCGCCGACAGTCCACATTTCAGGTAGGGGAGCGTGTCTGGGTCAAGGCTAGTGAGTTAGGACAGGAGTTTGGCATCTCTAGGAAACTAATGCCTCAGTATTTCGGCCCCTGGGAAGTCCTGGACGTTGTGGGGCATGATTTGGATGGTCCCTCATACGTTATTCGTATCCCTGGTCACTTACGCACTTACCGTGTTTTTCACTCCTCCAAGCTTGCACCTTTCGCTGAGACAACACAGTTCCCATCACGGAGATCTATGCTGCCCCCAACCATGGATGGCCACGTGGACGTTGACGACATCCTGGATCACAGAGATACGCCTGTTCCTAAGCCACCTGGAAGGGGAAGACCTCTTAAACATGCGAGGGAATACAGAGTACACTTCAGGCATCATACAGATCCGAAGAAAGATCGATGGATTTCAAGAGAGGAACTTGTCAAGACAGCTCCTCAGATCGTGGCCGATTATGAGAAAAGACTGAAGGGGAAGGCACCAACATGAAGCATCTCAACGGACTTTCGAAGCTAAGGGGGATGAAATGTGAGGAACAAGCCCTCAAGTGGCCCTATCAGACATCACATTGTTCTGGGCCAAGGCCCCAACAAGCCAAGTGCCCGCCCTAAGTGAAGGCGGGCCTGAATATTCATCACAGGCCAATTCGACATTTCTATATGTGGGTATTCAGGCTCTTGCAGCGCGTCAGTTGGTTGAGTGAACGCGCGAGCCTCACTAAGCTGCGCCGTACAGTTGGCTCAGGCCACGAAAGTTGTGCATGGGCACCTACACACAAAGCAGGGCCGATACATTGAGAAGCAGGCTGTCGGCCTCTGGAAAAGGGCCCAAGCCCTCAACTGTAAGTCTCGGCTTGGGCACAGGGTCTGAGGCCCAACCGGAAGCTACTGGAAGCTTCCAGCCAGGCCACACGCAGCACGCAGCAGGCTGCCACTTCCATAAAGGAAGTGAGGCAGCCCAGGCCAGGCATTCTGGCCAGCGATGGCAATGCGAAAGTGCTGTTGCGCTCTCGCTTGATGCTGCGCTGCTGCCAAGGGCGCTGACGGGGTGTGAGAGGTGAGGTGGGGCGCTGCAGGGCAGCTGGGCGCAGGCGGCCATAGCCGGGCTGCTAGGCGCCAGGGGGTACAGCGGATGATCGGGTGGTCTTCAGGGA